ACTGACATCTCTGAATTTTGGGTTATTAAAGAGGATAGTCAACTCAAACTAGTTTAAGCAAAAAAAAAAAAAAGGGGACAGATTGGTAGTAGATAAGACAGGTGGGTAGGTAGGAAGGTAGATGGGCAGATAAACAGATAGAAAAAACCCCAGGATGAACTGGGATCAGATATGATTAGCTCCAGGGACCCCCAAATAATATCACTATAGCTCTTTCTTTCTGGCTCTTGGCTCTGATTGTTTCTTCTTCATTCTCCAAACAAAATTTCTCCATGTAGGAGGCAAGAGGACTTGCCTCCCAGGTTTAGCAGTGATGACCAAAAGAGCTCATCTTACAGAAAGTTCTCAGGGTGGATTCTGATTGGCCCAGATTGAGTCAAATGATGATTGCTTCACCAATCTCTATGATAGATCAGCCTAGCCTGGGCCTTGTGCCCACCCCCGTGGGGGTGATCAAGGTGTTGATGGGACAGGGGGACGGTGTCTAACAGTCCTGCCAAGAGATATGAGTGGGAAGGAAATCCCCAAGGTAAGCAGAAACTACCCTGCCACCAACTTGGTCCACCTCAGTTCCAAGTAATGTGTTAGCCAAGTACACATGTGTGGGAGGGGAAGGGGATGAGCGGGGTCATGACAGCTCATCACTCGCATATTCATTAGCCATTGATTCTGAATCCTACCAACAGGCACTGTTCCGGGCTTTGTGATCCAGCACTAAACAAAACAGACCATCCCTGCCCTAGTGACTCTTATATTCTTGTGGGGAGAAGCAGTCAGGAAGATAAAATAACTAAGCAAAATACACATAGAAGGAACATCAGAGGACACTTCCATCAGCTAGAAGGAAATTTAGAACAAGGCAGGAGGATAGGGAATGGGGGGCTGGGGTCATAGTGTTATAGGTGGGGGGGCCATTAGGGAAGGCTCACAGAAGTGAGGTTTGAGCAGAGCCTTGCAGAGGGGTGAAGGAGGGAGCCATGCAGACATCCGGAAGAGCCTTCCAGGAAGGAGAAGAAACAGAAGGGTTGAGGGGAAGGGTGCCGGCAGTCTCAAGGAACACGAGGAGGCTAGTGTGGCCAGAACAGAGCCAGGGAGGGGGCAACAGCAGAACCTGAGCCCATGAGGTAACTGGGCCCCCACACATAGAGTGTCCTGGGCCACTGTGAGCTCAGGAGAGCGAAAGCCACGGAAGGTCATGTGATATGTCAGCATTACCTTTTGTTAGCTGTGGTTTTCTCCACCGTTGATTATAGGTCAGTTGAGAGCAGGGACATTATTTAGGTATTCATCCATTAGTTCATTCACTCATTCATTCCTTTATTCAGCAGACATCCATTCAGTTCCTACTACGTGCTGGGTGCTGGGAGCCCTTAGGTGGGGAGCTCACCATCTATTTTTTTTTTTTTTAGATTTTATTTATTTATTTGAGAGAATGAGAGATAGAGAGAGAGCATGAGAGGGGGGAGGGTCAGAGGGAGAAGCAGACTCCTTGCTGAGCAGGGAGCCCGATGCGGGACTCAATCCGGGGACTCCAGGATCATGACCTGAGCCAAAGGCAGTCACTTAACCAACTGAGCCACCCAGGCGCCCGGGGAGCTCACCATCTAGTGGAAAAGAAAGAGAAGTAAAGCACAGATGTCGGTGCCACGTGATCTGTGAATTCCACAAGCAGCTCCAAGTGCCCTCGTCCCCTCCAGAAAGGGCAGCAATACGAGTCCCATATAGTGGCTCCAACTGGCTCCAAGCCCAGGATCTCAGGTCTCCCAGGCTGATCCAGATATAGCTCCCCATGGTCCTGCAGGCTCGAGCCAAAGGATGCATTTACCCCTCGCCAGCGTGCTTAGTAAGCGGTGTGGGTAGGAGAACAGGGAGAAGGGGAAGAGCATTCACTGGTCCACAGTCTGTGGCGCATGTGCCCTGTCTGGACTCCTGTTCCAGCTAGGCTTGGGGTGGGATGGGCTTCCACAGCCAGTTCTCCAGCTACCCATGATCTGAGGTTGAGGGTGAGGGTTTCTTCTTGAACTTCCGTGGCCAGGTGTGGCATGGGATGGGGGAGCCGTGAGGGGTGATCTCGGTTCCTAGATTTCTCTTCTGGGGTCCATGCTGCTTTTGCTTATTTCCATCTTCCCAGCCTCTTGCACAGTGTCTGCACGTACGAGACTTGCAGGAAATATATGTTGATTTAGCGCTAGTGGTGCACCCATAGGACACCGCTGTGGATGTGCAGGGCAGTGGTCTCGGTCAGGCTGTGGAGCATCGGGGAAGACATCACAGATGACCCCTGCATGTGTTACTGGGAGGACTAGGAGGTCAGCACTGCCCACCTCTGCAACCAGCCATGCAGGAGAAGCATGTGGTGGTCTTCAGGGACAAATTCGTTTTGAGGTGTTGAGTTAGTGGTACCGATGGGCCATTCAAAGGCCTGAAAGTCTCAAGATCAAGGAACAGGGCCAAAGGGAAAGGAGGGGTCGAGAGCCGTGAGGAAGTATGAGCTGCGGTGCAGGCATATGGACTAGTGAGATACCAGGTAGAAGAGGTGTGGGTTGGGACAGAGTGAGGCCAGGGAGGCGCTGGGCAGAGAGGAAGTTAAAGCCCCGCAGAGATCACATCCCCCCCTTCCTTAGTGTCCCCTCCACTTGGCTGACTTGGGGCCAACTGATGTTTCGGCTCAAGGCCCCAGAGATGCTGGGTCAACGTGGAAGCAGGGCTAAGACCCCCAAGAGGGAGCAGGGACTGGGACTCCACAGTACCCTTCTTCACGAGGTGGCTCACAAGTGAAGGGTCTAACCTTGGAGGACAGCTAGAGCACACTCAGAAGCAGACACTTCTGAACAGCATCTTTGAGGATGTCTAGCTCATCCTAGTGAGCTTCGCTAGTGAACGGAACTTCTCTAGTGAACCTTGGCCTGAGCCCTTGGTCTTCCACAATATTCTCTAGAGCCCTGAGGAAGCTTCGCCTGAGGCGCAGGGAGGCTGCAAGCTTGAGACGGGGGAAGAGTCTCCTGAGCATTCCTTCCCTTTGGCAGCAGGGAGTGTTCTGTGGAGCTCTGCGGAATGACTGGGTGGCTGGATGAAGGAGTGAGTGAACTCAAGCATTCTTGAACAACTGAATGAATGATCAGATAGGCCTTGGAACTTGCAGAGGGGTGTCCCAGTGCCTGGTAGATGCACTGCTCTCAATCCATGTTTCTTGGGTCATGGGTGAGTGTGGGATGAGGACTCAGAGGTTTCCTGAGACCGTAGAGTGGCCAGAAGCCCTAAATAAATAAACATGGTTATTTCCCACAGTTGGCTTGCAGGATAATTAAGTGGCATACTCTCCCTTTGGGAGCTTCTGCAGTTTTTCTTTTATTTTATCGCAGATATCAGTGGAAGCTACTTTCCATTTCTCTGACCTGGACTGGGAGGAACTGGGGGGGGCAGAGTTAGCACCCATCCTTCTCGCAGGTGGGAAGGACACAGAGAACTTCTCCTGCTCACTCTCCAAGATGGACGGCTTGGGTCCTTCTAGCAATCCAAGGTTCAGGTCAAAACAGCCTTCCTCTCCCTCTCCCTCTCTCCTTCCTTCCCTCCTTCTGTCTTTCCTGAAATGGATTTCCAGCCCATGGGGGCTCTGCCACATCTGTCCAGCCCTTGTCATGGCACGAACTCTGAATATCAATCACGGTGTGGCTGCTGCCGCCGTGGCCACCATCCTGAGCATCTGTGTGTGGCTGGGCCGGGTGGACATGAGGAGACCTTCCTCACCAGCTCTGACCTCAGGGAGCTCAGGGGCTGGCTCTTAGGACAGGATGCACCCAGAGGCTGGAACCCGACCAAGTGGCATCCCTGAAGGAGATACTCGCCCCCTGGAGCCTTCCACATTCCTGCTGGCGAGGTGCGGGGCTAGGCTTTCATGGAGGCCCTGGGCCACTGTGGATGTCCCCCAGCATCACGCAACACCTCGGTCTCCTCTCCCCCAGGTCCAGCTACCTTCCAGGAACCATCCCTCTGGAGCTAGGCCTTTGATGGAGTCCTCATGCAGAGTTCTGTGTCTGAATAATCCTCGACCACCTTCCCACTGCCTCTGGGGGCCCACAGCTCCAGCCCAGGCTGCTGGGCAGGTGGGAGGGCTGCAGTCAGGATGCTCTCACTGTTGATGATATTTCAAGGCACTCTGGGGGAACATCCGGCCCGCAGTTTGGTTCAAATAATGAGATGTCAGGATCCATCTATCTCTCCATTCATCTCAGATGTGTCCTTCCCCAGGGTCTTTCATGGGGGTACTTTGGGAGCACAGAGTTGGGTGTGGCTAAGAGGAGAGAGGCTGGGCCATGGCCTGTGTGATCCATCACTACCCCGCACTTAGCACCGGTGAGCCAGGAGCTCTGACATGGGCCTATCTCAGCAGCAAGCGCCAGTCCCCGAGAAGACGCACCATTGTCTGCATTTGGGTGTTCTGGCAGCTCTGGCACGAGCCTGGAAGGGCCCCGCTTGTCCTCACAGGTAGTTCTCTGGACAGCAGCTTGTCCAAGCCCTGGGTGTTTTACTGCATGCCTAGTCCAGGGTCAGGCTCAAGGTTATCCCTAGGACACTGTAGGTTGCTTGGCGACCTCCAGCTTGGCTGGTGGTCCCCTCAGGACACCTCATCTCGGGGGTCACCTTCTCCAAATCCAGCAAAGAACACTGGGCAAGAGAATGACTTTCAGAGTCAGAACAACCAGTTTGAATCCAGAACCTGTGACTCATTAGCTTTGACCTTGGGCTTTAAAAAAAAAAAAAAAAAAGCCTTTATTTTTTAAGAGCAGTTTGGGTACTGTTTTTTGTTTTTTTTTTTAATTTCGTGAGCCTCGGTTTCCCTTTTCGTACAAGGGGGAAATACTGATCTCCTGCTCACAGAGTTGGGATAAGGTACAGACGAGGTAAGGCAGCAGGCTCCTGCCGGCGGGATCAGTGCTTACCCCACAGTGGCGGCTTTATCCTCCTGCCTGCGACCCCTCTGATGCTGACCTTTGGCTCAGGTGACAGGAACACCCTCCAGAGGCTTCGATGAGAAGGCGTACCTGGCAGCCAAGCAGCTGAAGGCTGGAGAGGACCCTTACAGGCAGCATGCCTTCAACCAGTTGGAGAGTGACAAGCTGAGCCCAGACCGAGCCATCCGGGACACGCGCCATTACAGGTACAGCCTCCGTCACGCCATGGAGGGCAGGGCCGGCCCCTGTCAGCAGTCCCAGGGACTGAAGGCATGAGAGAGATTTCCTCAGACTCCATGTGGTTCTTGAGACCCTCACACGCTCACCCTCAGTTGTCCTCTTGTCTCCTCTGTTTCTTTGACCTCCTGAGGGCCTGTGACAGCCAAGGAGACTCAGCGGGCACCGGGGAGGCCACTCAGCACCTCAGTCTGGAGTCCCAGGGAGAGTGGGCTGCCAGGGGACCACAGGGAGGCCAGAGGGGGCGGGCGAGCCTGCTGATGGTGGCTGAGGTGAAGAGGGGCCACCAACCCTGCCCGCACTGTGCAAGGGATTCTCCTCTTTCTGCCCCGCTGCCCCCGCTTCCTCAGCAGTTCCCAGAAATGCTCCCCAACCTTGCTCTTGGCTCTCCCAGTGTGGTAGGTGGGAGAGGCCCCAGAGCAGGACCAAGGACAGCTTCCATGATGATCCCCACTCTGACTGCACTCGGTGTGAGTGACTGACCTTGGGCAAGCCATCAATGCCCCCTCCTTGGTTCAGGCCCTTCATGTGTCCTGTCTGGATTATAGTCGCCACCTCCAGTTCCCCCTTCCTGCCCTCACCTATGGGAATAGTCTGAGGTCCTTACCCTGAAGTGCAAGCCCTGAACCTCTGCTCCTCCAGGCCCTGAACCTCTGCTCCTTTTCGCCTAGCACTTAATGCTCCTGCAGTCCTATACCCTCCTGACCCCTCGCCCTTGTCTATGCACACACTGTTTCCCCCGCCTGAACCCCCAGCCCCCACTAGTACCTTCACGACCCCCCTCGGTGTCCTCTCCTCCGGGGAAGGTTTCTTGCCAACCCAGGCTGGTCTGGGGGCTTCCTCTGTGCTCTGTGCCGACAGGGCAGTGAGGGGCTGTTGGAGCAGACTCACCCATGTGCCTGCATTTTTGAGTGACCAACGGGCTGTGTTGGACCAGCTATGTACCTAGCACCAGGCTGGTCCTGGTCTAAGGGTAGGTGGGGATGATGCGGGTCAAGATTGCTTTTCCTTCTGAAGCAGCTACTCCACAGCACAAAAGGTATGTGTGAGATGAGGGTGCAGAAAGGGACATGCTTCTAGCACCTTCCATGTCACTCATGGAGGTGAGCCTGAAATCCGGTGGGCTTGGCCGCCTGTCAAGAGGAGATGGACATGGAGTGGGGGGAGCCCCAGACTGTCCTCACTGTCTTGGAACCCCAGCACTGCCAGTACGACAATAATCCTGCTACTCGGAAAGGTCTCCCCACAGGTCCAATGGCCAGCTCAGATCTCAGAAGTTCTTTCTGTCAGTGCTGGTGTGGAGTCCACCTGCACTGTGGGGCCCACAAGGCTATGTCCACACAGCTCTACTTGGAGACCTTTCCTGGCAACTGCAACCCCGGCTATGGCCAACCCTGACCCCAAGACGTAGAGGTTCTATGGATCCAAATCTCTGAACTGATCCAGGGTTAGCCTGGATCACCTCTGCCCTCCCTCCCACTAAGACCACCTCATAGCTTCTCAGGTGCTCACTGAAGAACTTAAAGGAGGAGTTCCTCTTGGGGTGACACAGGTCTTAAAATGAGACTCTTCGAGTGTGAGGCAGGGGTGGTTTGGTGAGGCCAGCCTCCCTTCCTGCCCCCATGTTGCTACCAGCCCTCTCAGAAGCCTGAGGTGGATCAGGGTGCGTGCATGTGTGTGTGTGTGTGTGTGTGCACGCACATGTAGGTGAAGCCACAGAGGGGCTGGCTTTCACGAGCTGGAGAAGAGCCTTGCTCTTCTCCTTGGCGCTCCAGATAGCAGCTTCTGCTGGCCTCCAAACAGTCAGGCTAGTTCCTAGTCCAGTCCTCAATCTGGGGAGCCCCCTCAAGGGGAACAGAGAGACCAGGCAAGACAGACCTACCAGCATCACAAAGAAAACCCCACCAGCACCCCAAACTTGAAACACAGGCCTGGGACAAGCCTCTTCAAAGGCTCTTGGCTTCTGAGAGCCAGATAAATCGCCATCATCATGGTTGTAAATCCCAGAGAAATGCAGAGTGGAGAGAGTTGGAGGGGGCGGGTGGGGGGGAGGTCAGGTCTACCCTCCAGATGGGGTATGGGTAGGTAGGCCACTTTCAGGTGGAGAATGGGCATCACTATCCAGATTCTCTCCTTCCTGGGCACCAGATGGTTGGGGTTCCCAGTCAGGACGTGGGTCCCTGGAGGTCAGTGCTGGGGGACCAGGAACCCAGGAAGCAGCTGCTTCTCCCAGCACTCCCCCTGCCCCGTCCCAGCAGGCCAAGCCCACTCCCACCCCCAAATCTGCACGCCTCTGGGAGGATGCACTTGGGAAGCCTGGCTTCTGGGGGGGGGGGGGCAGAGGTGAATTTCCCTACCCCTCCACCTCTCCTACTTTCTACGTCCCCTCTCAGGGAGAATGCTTCTAAAGCCTCTCAGGATTCCTCCCATGGGGGTCCCAGGCTGGTGGGACTCCTGCCTTTCTGACCCCATCTGCTCTGCAGGGCAGGAAATGGGCCTGGGAATCCGGCTGTAAGACGCCGTCAGGGGCGTGAGTGCTGGAATGAGAAAACAGACCCTGCTGGAATAGTCAGAGAGCAATTGTAATAAAGAAGATTGCCATGAAAACCAGCTGCCTTCCCGCCGGCCCCAGGAGCACGAATAAAAGCACCCGCAGAAGCGACAGGGATGGAGGCTGGCAGGAATGGATTGTTTTAATTCCCTTTCCGGAGGAGGGGGAAGCCAAGGGCTGAAAATGTGGTGTGAGCCGGAGAAGGGGGAGGGAGCGGGGTGGCAGGCAGTGCTCGGGGTCTTCTGGCGGGGGGGCTTCTGTGCGCTCCAGGGGGAGGTCAGGGCCCCCGGAGGAGAGAGGCTGCTCCCCCGCCCCGGGTCACCAGCCAGCTGTCCGGGGCTGGGCAGCGAGAGGGAGGGAGTCACAGGACTATAGCAGAGGGGTGATTCCTCTCCAGAGCCTCCAATGTCGCGAGCCAGGAGAAGAGAAAGAAGCCACAGGGTGCTGCCGCTGTAGCTGAACAGAGGCTGGTCTCCCTGTCTCCCCCGTTTTGTCTCTCTCTGGCAGGCAGGGAGCTCCGTCTGTTGGCCCAGGGCTGGGTCCCCGGGGCCTGGAGCGGTGCCCACACAGACACGATTGTCAGAACCTTTCTGCACGCTTCAGTGATGGGGGGGTGCGAGGGCTCTAGGTCTTTGGTAAAGGTGACCAGGCCAGGGAAAGTGCCCCAACCTGTGGCTTCCCTCCGTGGGCTCCAGGCCGGATGGGCGGAGTGGGGCGGAGGGTGGGCGTGGAGGGCAGCCCCGCACCCTGGCTTCAGGCTTGCCTTCCCTGTCCCACAGCGGTATTCCTGGGGGCAGCAGGCTGGACAGAGAGAAGCCTCCAGCCTGTCCTAAGGATGTTCCCATGGTGCCCTCTGACCCCTGTGCTCCATTCGCAGTTGCCCGTCTGTTTCCTACTCTGCGGACCTGCCGGCCACCAGCGTCATCATCACCTTCCACAATGAGGCCCGCTCCACCCTCCTGCGCACTGTGAAGAGGTGAGCCCCATCTCAGGACCCTCGCCTCAATGGTGCTGCTTCCCAAGGCCCCCAAGATCTGTCAAGCCCCCGGCAGGGGCGCACATTGAGACAGGGTGTGGGGCCAGATGGTGTGAAGAGGTCAGCCCCTGGGAGGGGGAGTCCTATCCTTCCGAAAAGCTGGAGCTGGTGAATCAGGGTCAGAGAGACCCCAGCAATCTAGTTATTAGGATGCACAAGCACAAGGTCAGGTCCCCAGGACAAAGGCAGATATTCAAGGGGCAGGAGCCAAGGGAGTCAGGGGTGGACATGAAGCCTCAGGTGGATGGCCGTCAGCCCAGTAGGTGCCAGCCAGCGATTCACAGGGAGGTGCCCCTCTGTCCTCCTTAACTTGGCCCTGCGGTCAAGTTTAACTCCTACTTGCCCCATTTCTTTAATGAGAATAGGATTTGGAGTATTCCAGGGATTAAAGAAGCTTGGGTTTCCTTTCCCAGGGAGTAGAGGAAGAGGAAGGATGGTGGGAAGGAAAGCAGGCCGGCAGTTCCGGGCCTAGCTGGGTGGGGTCCCGCCCCCCCCCCCCCCCCCCTGGCAGGGCTTGTTAAGCCTAAGCAGTCAGAGCAGCTACAGGTCCTGTCTTGACAACGAAACTGGGGCAGTTCCCACAACCCATCTGGACCAGGTCCCAGGTGCCTGCAGGTCCAGGCAGCAGGGTCAGCCAGGTCCTTGGAAGAGCCTGAGGACCATACCGCTCCTCAGCCGCTCATCAGGGCCCGGGAGTTTTGCGGGAAGCTGCTCGTGGCTAGTGTGCCGGCCCCTGAGCTGGGTGGTGGGGCAGTCCTGGGGCAGGGAGAGGTAAATGGAAGGTGACCCCTAAATCCAGGCTCCTCTGTCCCCATCACTATGTCCCCATCACTCCAGTGTCCTGAACCGAACTCCAGCCAGCCTGATCCAGGAGATCATCTTAGTGGATGACTTCAGTTCAGATCGTAAGTTTCTACCTCCTGTTATTCGCACCCTTCCAAACTCTCGTTTCCCCAGAGCGTGGAGACAAGCACTCCCAGGGCCGTGCTGGATATCACGGGCTGACCCCTGCCCCTCAACCGGGATCTTTTTTTTTTTTTTTAAGATTTTATTTATTTGACAGAGAGAGTGTGAGAGAGCACAAGCAGGGGGAACAGTTGAGGGAGAGGGAGAAGCAGGTTCCCTGCCAAGCAGGGAGCCCCATGCGGGGCTGATCCCAGGAGCCTGGGATCATGACCTGAGCCGAAGGCAGACGCTCAACCATCTGAGCCACCCAGGCGCCCCAACGGGATCTTCAGTCTTTTCTAGGTGCCCTCCCTGAATCTGTTCCCAGGTGCCAAGGAAGGGGAAAGAGGTGTTGTTTTGATGGGACACCAGTGAGATGACATTTTTTAAAAAAGCAGAAGCGGGCGCCTGGGTGGCTCAGTTGGTTAAGCGACTGCCTTCGGCTCAGGTCATGATCCTGGAGTCCCAGCATCGAGTCCCGCATCAGGCTGCCTGCTCAGCGGGGAGTCTGCTTCTCCCTCTGACCCTCTTCCCTCTTGTGCTCTCTATCTCTCATTCTCTCTCTCAAATAAATAAATAACATAAAAAAATAAAAACAGAAGCAACATCAGCAGCATCCTTTGTTATTACAAGTGCCAAATGCTGAGGATTGTCCCTTCAGTGTGGCTGCGCTGGTGTTGACCTGGCTACCCGCTGACCTGCTGGTGCTCTCTGGTGTGGGGGCAGTGCCATGAGTATTCCTCAGTCTGGCCTGGGAGTGAGGCACAGGGCAATCCTTTGGCCATTAGAGATGACCAGGTTCCGTGTACCTCCCCACCCCCTTCCCTTTCCCTGGACCTACTGTGAGACATCTTCTGGGCAGTTGCAGGGGCGACCAAACCCCCTGTGGTCTGACGCCCATATCTGAATGAGCTTGCTTCCTTCTCTTCACCTTCAGCTGAAGACTGTCTGCTCCTGACCAGGATCCCCAAGGTCAAGTGCCTGCGCAATGATCGGCGGGAAGGTAAGTTCTTGGATCCTGGGTGCCACTGCAGACCCATTTTGGTCTAGACCTCTGCACCTCCCCATTCCCTTTTGGCACCATGTCACACTAAGCCAGCACGTGCCTGCTGCATTCCTGGTGGTCAGGACCAAGGTCTGTGGAAAGGCCCTTGTGCTATCCTGGGTCAGCCTCTGCCACGGCATGACTGTAGGCAAGTCGCTCTACTTCTGGCTGCCTGGGTTATCTCTTCTGAGAGGTGGAGTTAATAATAGTCCCCTTCCTGCCTTGCATGGCTATTGTAAGGATTAAATGAGATAAACTATGTGGAAATGCTTCAAGAAAACCAAAGGACATTATTTTTTTAAAAGATTTTATTTATTTATTGGACAGAGAGAGAGAGAGAGAGAAAGAGCAAGCAGGGGGAGTGACAGGCAGAGGGAGAGAGAGAAGCAGGCTCCCTGCCAAGCAGGGAGCCCGATGTGGGGCTCGATCCCAGGACGCTGGGATCATGACCTAAGCTGAAGGCAGATGCTTAACCGACCGAGCCACCCAGACACCCGGGGCGTCATAAAGCAGATGTCACCTCACTTCCAATCGAGAGGTGTTTCGGAGCATCAGCCATATGCAGCTAGGATTGTACATGGCAATCTAGGAAGCACAAAACAAGTATGAAACTTGGTCCCTGCCCTCGGAGAGCTTATTGTAAGGCCAAGGAGTCAGGACTCACCACAGGCACAGACTGGTCATGGTGATATGGGGGCAGACCCCAGGAGAGGGACGTGATGGGGGACTAGGCCTTGCCTGGGTGAGGGCGCAGTGAAACAGGTGAAGGGAGCAAGGCAGGGCAGTCCAGGCTTGTGGACTCGGCACGAGTGCTGCTCAGGCACAGGCCCACCTGTAATACTAACAGCCCTCTCCCTGAGTGCTCACCTGTAGCAGGCAGCCACTCTGCCTATGTTCTCACATTCCTTCTTCCTAACAGCCCATTGTCCCCCTTCGCACATAAGGAAAGTGAGGCCTAAGGAGGTTCAGTAATTTGCCCACGGTGATGAATAGAGGAGCCAGAATTCCAACATGGAGGAGGGAGGCCACCCTTAACCTCCCTCTCCTCCTCCCTGCCTGGGAGGATCTGGGTCTGGTCAGGAGGGGAAATGGTGAGGTGAGGGTAGATGGCAGAAAACCTTGGAAGCCAGAGAAAGGCATTTAGACTTGATAAGGCAGGTAGTAGGGAGCCACTGAAGGTTTGAGAGAGAAAGAGAGAGAGAGAGAGAGATGTGAGAGGCATAATGAAGAAAGACCAGTCAGACCAAGGAGACCTGCTCACTGGCATGGAAGAGGCCAGAGAGAAATGAAATTTCTCCCAAGCACTGGGTTGTAGGTACCTCTAGGCCCAGGACTATAATGTTTCCCGGGGTTTGCCCAACACAGGTACAAACCTTAGGTAGGAGGTACTAACCTCCTACCTACCGGTGGAGTGCAAGGGTGGGACAGATGGATTTTTGCACAGATGGATGTATAGTCAGATGGATGGGGGCAGAGTGCAGGGCAGAGGTATGGCCAGGGAAATCTCTCCAAGGAGCAACTGTATTCTGAGCTCTTAGAGCGAGGCCCCTCCATCTCCACAGCTCACAGGATACCAGTGGCTGTTCTCTCAGCAGCCCCAGCTGGGCCTCCTCTCTCCCCAGGATCTGCCAAAAGTGAGGCCATTCTTTGACAGTTGGTGAACCAGCAGCAAGACTGTTTGGGGTGGGGGTCGAAGCAGAGCAGAATCTAGCACAGGTCGGCCTCCTAGACACCGGGCACTCTCCCTGGCAGGTGGGGATAATTTTCTCTCTGGGTCTTTTAGATGAGAAAACCCAGTCTCAGAGAGGTTAAATAACATGCCTAAGGTACGTGAAGGGTCTGGCATACTAACTCCAACCTGTCTTAGTCTAGAAGATTCTCACGAGGTCACCTCTCACGAGGTCACACGTGATGATGCAGCTGAAGGGGACGGCTTGTGTGGAAATGCTTCAAGAAAACCAAAGGACATTATTTTTTTGGAGATCCCGGGGGGTAGGGAGGAAAGGGTTTTGGTTTCTGGTTTTCTTTTTGTACCAAAACACACTCGCTTGCACATTCCATTCACTAATGCCTGACTGTTCATCTGTGTGTCCCCAGAGCCCAGAACAGTATCTGGTACACAGAGAGCATTCAGAGAATGAGCCTGGAGTAATGATGGTTGCTGAGTGGATGAGAGAAAAGAGAGGGAGGGAGGGAGGAAATAATCAAATACAAAGTAAAACTCAATCACAGGAACTCAGAGGAAGCCTTGAAAGCCCTGAGACTTTTGAGGGATGGCGGGGAAGCAAACTGGCCCCGTCCCAGTACCAACCCCTGTCCACTCCCATGGCAGGGTTGATCCGGTCCCGCGTTCGTGGGGCAGATGTGGCCACAGCTGGTGTGCTCACCTTTCTGGACAGCCACTGTGAAGTGAACACCGAGTGGCTACAGCCCATGCTGCAGCGGGTCAAGGAGGTGAGTCCCTCTGTCCCTGTGGGAGCTCCGTCCCTTGGGACGTGCCCACCATGTTCTTGGCACGAGGGTGCGTGAACAGTCATTAGCATTGGATAGGCAGAGTAGGAGCCTAAATGGTCGGCTTCCTACAGAGTGACATCATGTTAGTGAGCTTTCTCCTCTGAAAATGAGGGTAACTGTAGTATTTGTCTCACGGGGTTGTTGTGAGAATTCATGTGGATGTGGGCTTGGGTGAGCTGTAAAGCTCCTACTACCAGTGGTGGTGAGGTTTTGCTTCCGGGGGGAGGCGGGTCCTGTGCAGGGGCAGGGGGCAGCTTGGGGTCAAGGCTGGGAAGCCTGAGAAGGAGGAAGGGGGTGTGGCCTTGTCAAGGACAGATGAGGACAGGGGGCCCCTAGCACGTGCCAGTGTTTCACCAGAAGGCGGAGGGTAGGACAGGTGGAGGGAAGGATGAAGTAATCACGGATCAACCATAAAAAGACAAATAACCCAACTTAAAAATGGGCAAAGGATTTGGATGAACATTTCTTCAAGGCAAATACACAAACGGCCAACAAGCACAGGAAAAGATGCTCAACATTTTTTTTTTTTAAAGATTTTTATTTATTTATTGAGAGAGAGAGAGAATGGTAGAGAGAGAGCATGAGAGGGAAGAAGGTCAGAGGGAGAGGCAGACTCCCCGCTGAGCAGGGAGCCCGATGCGGGACTCGATCCCGGGACTCCAGGATCATGACCTGAGCCGAAGGCAGTCGCTTAACCGACTGAGCCACCCAGGCACCCGATGCTCAACATTTTTAAGCCTTGAGGGAAACGCAAGTCAAAACCACAGTCAGATACCACTTGATACCTACAGGATGGCTGTGACCAAAGGATGGACAGTGACAAGGGCTAGTGACGGTGTGCAGGAGTGGGAGTCTTTTCACTCATTGCTGGTGAGAACGTAACATGGGGCAGCCGCTTTGGAAAACAGTCCTGCAGTTCCTCAAAAGCTTAAACACGGAGTTACCTGATGACCCTTCCACTGCTGGGTATATACCCAAGAGAAGTGGAAACACACTCCACACAAAAACTTGCACGGCAGCGTTCGGGGCAGTATCATTCAGAATAGCCAAAATGTGGAAAGAGCCCAAATGTCTGTCGATATAGTAGCCATACAACAAAGTACTAGTCAGCCATAAAAAGGAGTGGAGTACTGGTATGTGCAACAATGTGGATGAAAATGTTTCCCTAAGTGAAAGAAGCGGCTCACAAAAGGCCACGTGTTCTATGATTCCACTGATACGAGATGTCCAGAATAAAACAAAGCCCTAGAAACAGAAAGATGAATGGTTGTCAGGGGCTGGAGGGAGAGAGGATGGGGAGTGACCGCTAACAGGTACGGGGTTTCTTGTTGGGATGATGAAAATGTTCTGGAATTAGAAAGGGGTGATGGGTGCACAATCTTGTGAATATATTGTAAGCCACCAAATTTGTACACTTTTTTTTTTTATTAGAGAGAATGAGAGATAGAGAGCACGAGAGGGAAGAGGGTCAGAGGGAGAAGCAGACTCCCCGCCGAGCAGGGAGCCCGATGTGGGACTCGATCCCGGGACTCCAGGATCATGACCTGAGCCGAAGGCAGTCGCTTAACCAACTGAGCCACCCAGGCGCCCCCAAATTTGTACACTTTAAAATGGTGAATTTTATCGCATGTCAGTTACGGCTAATGAAATTGCTATAAAAATGTGAATTATATCTCAGAACAAAAAAGTGTATAAAAAGGCAAAGGCGAGGCCCCCACCGAGCTCTGTGGGAAACCATGGGTGGTCTCCCCTGCTCTGCCTCCTCCCAGGCTTTCGTGGTCCTGAGAGGGGGTGTGAACTGAGGGGCAGAGCTGGGCTCCAAGTTGCGGACAAGAGGATTTTGAGGGTCAGCGCAGAGTGCAGGGGGAGAAGAGGCTCTGGTCTGGGTCCCTCTGTGGAGGGAGAGGCAAGAGAGGGCTGATGGCCATTGATAGTTTTGCAGAGGGTGAACGACATAAGCCACCAACACCACTACTCTTCCCCCTAATTCTTAGTAAAATTGACATTACCCACCAATGTTTTGGAGGTGAATTTGTGCCTAGGAGAGTGAAGGGAGTAACGAATCTGACCTTGAGGCAGATGTGGCATGAAAGAGTGACAGCCAGGTTGCATAGGGACGGCGGAGTCCCTGCCCTCACGCTGCTGGCGGTCCAGTTGGGAAGATGTACAAAGGTGGATGACAATTAATAAAACGATAGTTCAAACCAACAACAGAAGAGCCACCTCAGACAGCATATGATTCAGTGCCCCAGGAATTGTCTGGACTGTAATTGTGAGAGCAGCTGAAAAGAGGAAGAAATCCTCAGCCTGCTGCAATCTGGCAGGGTTTCGCTGAGGAGGTGCGATCCCAGCAGGGCTCAGCATGATGTGAGGGGAAGAGGCTGGGAGAGCACTGTGCCCATGGGACCCAGGTGGGATCTTCCAGGAGCCTGGCTGTGGGGCTGCAGGACAGCTCCCAAGAACCTGCTGCATCCTGCAGAAAGGGCTGAGTGCCCCGTGGCTCAGAGAGAACTTCTGCCCACAGTCCAGGCAGCTGGGCCTTTCTTCACAGAGTCCTTGGCCTCACACCATCTCTCTTTTCCTGCCCTCCAGGACCACACCCGTGTGGTGAGCCCCATCATCGATGTCATCAGTCTGGATAACTTTGCCTACCTTGCTGCATCGGCGGATCTTCGTGGAGGTGGGTCTGTCTCCCAGAGGAGGGGCCATAGACTCGAAAGGGGCAGGCGAGGGCAGTCTCAAGCCTTGGTTTGGTGCTTTTCTGCCCAGCTGTGCCAGAGCGTCTCACACCACCCCCTTACCTCCAGAAAATGGAAAGCCCTGGGGTTGGGGACAAAGCCCTCTGGCACAATCAGTGACAGAGTCAAGCTAGTCTTGTGTCTTCCCCTCTGAGGCACAAGCCCTGACACATCCTTCCCAAAGGCTGCCAGCCCAGGGACCATGCCCACAGTCCTGGCAGAAAGACATGATAGGACAGTGTCGTGCATGAATTCCTGATATGTACACCTGGAGGTGGTCTGGGCCTGGGCTGTCTAATATAGTAACTATGAGCCACATATGGCTATTGAGCTCTTAAAATGTGACCAACCTGGATTGAGATGTGCTGTAAGTGGAAAATACACAGCAGGTTTCAAAGTCTTATTATGAAAGAATGTAAAATATCTCATCAGTAGTTTTTTATATTGATTACATGTTGAAATAATAACATTTTGTGTATTTTGCATTAAAAATATATTGTTCAAGGGGCGCCTGGGTGGCTCAGTCGGTTAAGCGGCTGCCTTCGGCTCAGGTCATGATCCCAGGGTCCTGGGATCGAGCCCCATGTCCGGCTCCCTGCTCAGCGGAGAGCCTGCTTCTCCCTCTCCCTCTGCCTGCCACTCTGCCTACTTGTGCTCTCTATCTCTCTGTCAAATAAATAAATAAAATCTTAAAAAAAATATATATATATATTGTTCAAATTAATTTCATATGTTCTTTTTGATATGGCTACTAGAAAAATTTACATATGTAGCTTGAATTTCTGGCTTGCATCATATTTCTTTTGGACAGCTCTGGTCTAGACTTTTTAGCCGTGCTGTCCAATATAGTAGCCATATTTGGCTATTTATATTTAAATTACAATTAAATAAAATTCTAATTCACTTCCTAACTGGCACTAGCCACATTTCAAGTGCTCAATCACCCCATGTGGCTAGTGTCTACCATACTGGATAGTCAGTACAGATATAGAACATTTCCATCATTGCAGAAAGTTCTATTGGACAGGCTGCACTAGAGAATCTGTTGCTAGGAGCTAGTGGGCAGAGTGGTTTTCCTTTTTGGGGCCCAGACTTCCAAAAAATGGAAACAGCTATTACTTCGATCTTGGAGTTGAGTGGGGTTCCGAAGAGAGCCAGGCATGTCTCCTTTGGGAAATCACCTCAGGGCCTTTGCACTTGCTGTTCTCCCAGCCTGGAATCCCATTTCCCCAGATATCTGCATGGATTAGTCCTTCATTCAGGTCAAATGTGACCTCTTTAGAGAGCCTTTCCTTTTTTTTTTTTTTAAGATTTTATTTATTTATTTATTTGAAAGAGAGAGAATGAGAGAGAGAGAGAGAGAGAGAGCACATGAGAGGTGGAAGGGTCAGAGGGAGAAGCAGACTCCCTGCTAAGCAGGGAGCCTGATGTGGGACTCGATCCCGGCACTCCAGGATCATGACCTGAGCCGAAGGCAGTCGCTTAACCAACTGAGCCACCCAGGCGCCCTGAGAGCCTTTCCTGACTACCATTACTAGAATAGTACGAACACCTCTCTTTTCTTTTTCTTTCTAGCACTTTTCACCTTTGACTAGCAGATTATCGTTTTATTGATTTATTTTTGTAGTCTCTGTCCTACCCAGTAGATCAATGAGGGCAGGGACCTGTCTTGTTCTGAGTGGAGGAATGACTGCATGAATTGCCCAGGGCCCTCTGCGAGCTGGGCTCTGATCAAGGGAGACTGAGGGCTGCAGCAGCTCTGCCCTGAGCTCCGTCCTCACCCCACTCTGCCCCTTAGGATTTGACTGGAGCCTGCATTTCAAGTGGGAGCAGATCCCTCTTGAGCAGAAGATTGCCCGGACCGACCCCACCAAGCCCATAAGGTCAGTGCTGCCGCAGGCTCTGCAGAGACCCCTCCCTTCCTTGGGTCAGGGGGCCTGGGAGGCCACTGGGGGGGCCGTTTCAGTTGCTGCTGCTCCTGAGGGAGCACTATCTAAGTGCTGATTCGGTTCTGGGTCGCAGGGACAGAGAGGACAGAGGTCAGGGAGTTGCTGGATGTCCTGCCCCTGTGACTCTGCAAGCGGGGGATTCTGGGGCAAATGACCTGGGGTTCTGGGGCCATCTAGAAGGGTTCCCAGCTTCTCCAGCTCATGGGTTGCCTCTTTCCTCTCCTTGCTCCCAGGACTCCTGTCATAGCTGGAGGAATCTTTGTGATCGACAAGTCCTGGTTTAACCACTTGGGAAAGTATGATGCCCAGATGGACATCTGGGGTGGAGAGAATTTTGGTAAGTTGGAAATAACAATAACAGTAACAACAATAATGGATAACCCTACTCGAGCGAATTCTATGCATAAGGCCCTGTTCTACACATGTATGCATTCATTTAATCCTCGCAACTCTCCGAGCTAAGTACTATTGTATTTCCATTTTACCAATAAAGAAGCTGAGGCACAGAGAGGCTAAGTAATTGGCCCAGAGACACACAGCTAGTAAACAAAGATTTAGGTGGTCAGGGGGGGGCCTGTGGTCACATGGTTAGACGTGTGTGTGGAGGAACATACAGACTGTAACCGGGGCTGCAGCTTTAACTACCACAGCGGATTCTCTTCCAGAAAAGCCAGGGGTGGGGGGTGCAGCGGAGTTTGGTGGTTAAATGTAAGAATGGGGGCAAATGGCCTGGGTGCAAGTCCTGGCCCTACCACCTACAAGCCGTTTGGCCCTGGGCAAGTTAAAGCCTCCCGAAGCCTCCATTTCCTCAAGAGGCCGGTATGAGTACCAAATAAGAGATGAGTTAAAACATGTGGCATGCTGCTGGCGGCCATTATCATTACTGACCGGGCTGGGGGATCCCTCTAGCTCCAGCAGGAAAGGGAAGAGCCCAGCGAGCTCCCAGGGTCATCAGCGAGGTTTGGTTAGATAAAGGCCTGCTACAGTGGATCAGCCGACATGGGTAATATAAGGGGCTTTACTAAAGAGACGGTCCACACGGTGTGGGCGAGATACAGGGAGCCGCAGGGAGAGCGCAGTCCTGGGCTGGGCTGGTGACTGCTGTGAGGTGTGGCCACCCCTAGGTCTGAAAGACGGAGAGGGAGTGCTCCCTGACAGGAGCTGTGGTCTTGGGGGACCTGCAGCCAGCCCACAGCACCCAGGCAGAGGGTGTCGGGGGATAAATACCCACCCTCGCTCTCCCCCTCTCCGCTCTGACGGAGCCTGCCAGCCCGCAGGAAGGAAGCCAACAGTGCAGCCCACACGGTGAGGAGCAGGGCGAAGGATGGGGAGCGATCCGGGGGTCTCCTGTTCTTTGCAGAGCCCTTTGTTTCCTTCTTCATCCTCACCACGTTTCTTGCGAAGTAAATACGGCTGGTGGTATCTCACCCATTTGACAGGTGGGAAAACTGAGATAGACGCTGCCTTCCAGATTTCAATCAGGAAGCTCCACATCTGACAGGTGTGCGTAGTGCCCCAACCAGAGCCACTTCAGTGTTGTGAGGTGTGTTTTGTCAAAGCAAGAATTTGTCAAAGCAAGTTCTGTGTTTCTGAGAGGTGAGGAGCAGGTCTTTCTTCTCTCTCCCTGATTGGGACACAGATGAGCAGTGGGGCTTGTTTTTTTTTTTTTCTTAAAGATTTTATTTATTTATTTGAGAGAGACAGAGATAGCAACAGAGATAGCAAGAGAGCGTGAGTGGGGAGGGGAGGGGGAAGCAGGCTCCCCGCCGAGCAGGGAGCCCGATGATGCTGCGATGCGGGGCTCGATTCCAGGACGCTGGGATCATGACCTGAGCTGAAGGCGGATGCTTAACGACTGAGCCACCCAGGCGCCCCAGCAGTGGGGCTTATAACAGGTCTGATCCTAACTCAAAACCAACTGGAGTGGAAACAGGCGTGGAATGTTCTCGCCTTTATAACTTACTCTTGGAAACCATTTGCAGACAGGCATTTGAAGAAGTAAATTCTGGGAACTGAGGTGCACTGACCCTTCCATTCTGATCTTTCGCATGTTCTGGGCCCAGGTGACCTCCTGTGTGCCCTCAGTCTCAGCCTGAAGGGAGCTTTGGCAAAGCGGGCTTCCTGTACAGACTCAGAGGACTGGGAAACGAATGGTGTCTCCTGCATCCAGGAGATTTTTTCTTTTTTCTTTTTTTTTTTTCTTTTTTTTTTTTTTTACAGCTGGTAATTTACAGAGAAACAAGTAAATGATCAAATGTCTAACTTCAAATTGTGCCTGAGGCGAGGGCTCAGTGGTTGGGGAACTTGAAAGGTGAACCACAGAGTGTTTCTGGGAAGGGTTTTATTGCTTAGAAGAAAGTCAAAGAAATTTCTAAACTAGCCGTGGTGCTCAGACATTCAGCTGCTGGGAGCAGTTTTGAGCCAGGAGAGCTCTGTTGCTGGTGGGTTTGGGCCTTTCATTTCATTCTTTTGTTGAAGGAAGGAAGATGCCTAAACTGAGACTCATTCCTGTGTCCCCTCAGAGAGCCCCAGAGGCCACTGTAAGTGGAGGTGGCCAATGTGAAAACCTTGGGATTCCCGTTAGAGGTCCTTTTAAAAGGTAGTCAGATCATGTCGGTCCTCTGCTCACGACCCCGCAGGGACTCTGTCACATCACTGAGAGCAAAGCCCACAGTCTTCATGCCATCTGCCCTCCCCCCACGGCACACCCCCAGCTCTGCCCCCATCTCCTGCCTCTCCCCTCCCCCCGGCCTCACTCCACCCCGCAGCCGCCTCCACCAGGCCTCCTTGCGGTCCCGGAACGTGCCGCCCACTCCAGCCTCTACAACTTTGTCCTTGCGGATCCTTCTGCCTGAAATGCTTCTCCCCCAAAAGCCACATGACTTGCTTCCTCCCCTCCTTCAGGTCTGAGCTCAAATGTCCCCTTTTGCTGGAGAACTTCCCAATCAGATTAAAACTGTAGCCCACCCCAGCTCCACTGGCGCCCTTCAGCCCCTTCCTGCTTTGTCTCCATTGCACTTAATACCATCGGATAGACGACGCATTTCACTCAGCTTCTTGTCGACTTACATCTTTGTTCCTTATTTTAGTGAGTTCCCATCACCTACCCGTGGGTGTGTAAGGATTCTAGAACAGTGTATGACACATAATTAGCAGGTGCCCAATAAAATTTTGCTGAATGAACTAAGGAGTCTGGTTCAAACAGTGCAGCTTGCTGGACAAAATGTGAACTTGACATTATAATTCTGCAAGAGTATTTGGGTGATCTTGGAGAGGTTACCATGTTTGAGCTTCCCAGTCCTGATTAAAAATATGGGGACGGGGCACCTGGCTGGCTCAGTTGGTAAAGCATGCGACTCTTGACCTCAGGGTCATGAGTTTGAGCCCCATGTTAGGCATGGAGCCTACTTAAAAAGAATAAATAATTTTCTTAAAAATGAAAACAAACAAAACACGAGGATGATAATACCAGCTTCACATGCTTGCTGTGAGCATTAGACCTGGGTTATAGAGCATGGCACATGTTAAGGGCTCAGTAAATGGGTGACAGTTACTGCTCGTGACCGTGTTGTGGGTAATGCCAAGAACAGTATGGACAGGGCAGGCTGGTGGGATGAAGTGGCTTATTAGTGTAACCAAGTTAGTCTGGTAGAAATGGAACCAGAATGCAGCTCTTCTGTCCCCCAGGTCTGCCCCTAGTTCTAAATCTCACTTGCTGACCCAGCTGCAGAGCTCTTCCCAGGAGAAGGGACACAAGCCTGGCAGTCTGCAGGCCGACCTAGGGAAGCCCATCAACATGGCCAGCCCTGCTATGGCACGTGTCCAGCCCTGGCCCCTGGCCCACGTCTGGAAGCTGTCTGCCGCACACAGGCTGGACGAGGTGGGCATTAGTCACTGGGGGGTGGGGGGTGGGCCCCGATGAGCTGCGCCAGGTGAGAACCCCCAGGCCTGGCCAGGGACCATGAGTGTCTGTACAGCCAGCTGGGGAGTGGGAAGAGGGACCGAGGCTGGAACTCATGAGAAAATGGTCTTTTTTTTTTTTTTAATTAAAAACAAAACAAAACAAACAAAAAACAAGGGTTGTGTATTTTCTGGGACAGGAAGGAGGTGTTTTAATGTCACAGGGTGTCTGTCCAACTGTAGGGTTCATATGAAAGGGTAATCAGAAGAGATTATGAGAGGTTCAGCCAGCCACCACAGTGGGTCCTTGCCAGAAGTGACAATAGTTGAGTGGAGAACAGAGCGGGCCGTTTGTGATGGCCCCCTCTAGGAAGCAGAATGGCTACTTGCATCTCCCTGCCCTTCAGTCGCTCACAGTCCTGCAGAAGCTCATTCAGCATCCCCACCACTATCAAAAGGAAGCATGTCTCAAGAGGGCCAGTGGTAGCCTGTAAATGGAGACCTCCTGTGCCAAGAGGGAGGTCTGGAGCCAGAAAGACACCAGCTGGAGAGGCCTGTGGCCTGGTTGGTAGCTGGTATTCCCAGCCTCGTGGATTCCCAGAGCTGACTGATGAGCAAATGCCTTCTTCCTTAGCAATGTCTGGATGGGGCTTTCTAGTTGGAGGCTGGAAATGATGCTGCATTTGATTCAATTTTCCTTCTCCTCATGGCCTTGGTGTTGCTTCAGTGCTTTCCCCACTGCTCTTCCAGGGCTCAGATGCGGGCAGTGTGTAAGGGGTTGGCAATGGAGGGTATGTGTGTGTGTGGGGGGGGTATGTGCATGGTGTGTGTGGGGTGGGGTGTGTGGAAGGGATGTGTGTGGAGGGGTTTGTGTAGTGTGTGTGTGTGGTGTGTGTGTAGAGGAGGTGTACGTGGAGGGTGTGTGTGTGTGTGGTGTGTGTGTGTAAGTGGTATGTGTGTATGTGGTATGTGTGTGGAGGGTGTATATGTGTGTGTGGTGTGTGTGTAGGAGATGTGTGTGAAGGGGTGTGGGTGGTATGTGTGTATGTGGTGTGTAGGTAGGAGATGTGTGTGGAGGGGTGTATGTGTGTAGAGATGTGTGTGGAGGGGTGTGTGTGGTGTGTGTGTGTGGTACGTGTGGAGGGGGTTGTGTGGGGCGGGGTGTATATGAAGGGTGTGTGTATGTGGTGTATATGGAGAGGGTGTGTGTGGGGTAAGGTGGGGATTGGGGTGTGTGGAGGGGGGCGTGTGTGGTGGGGGGCAGGGGTGTGCACATTCATGGAGTGAACATTCAGGAACGTGTGCAAGGATGGGCACGTCCCATGTAGATGGGCCCAGGAACCCTGAGCCCCGCCTGTGCCTCCAAGGAGACACCAGGGGTGAGGGCGAGGAAGCATAGCTCCTTCCCACCTTCACTCCGGGGGGACTTGCCAGAGGCTCTTCCCTCCTGACGGCCCCCATCTCCTGCAGAGCTCTCCTTCAGGGTGTGGATGTGCGGTGGGAGCTTGGAGATCGTGCCCTGCAGCCGGGTGGGCCACGTCTTCAGGAAACGGCATCCCTACAACTTCCCTGAGGGCAATGCCCTCACCTACATCAGGTAGGTCACAATGCAAAGAGCACCAGGCTAGGAGTCAGGACACCTAGGTCCTAGACCCCACCAACCCTGTCGGTTACTCCTCCGGCTTTGGGCAGCTGCACCCCCTTTCTGGGCCTCAGTTTCCCCATTTGTTCCTGCCAGTTCTGGGATTCCAGGTACCTTGAGGGGTGGGAGGGTGAAATGGAGAGTGTTGGCACCAGACCTCCCTTGTCTTGACTCTCTGTCCATGAGCTTCTTGGAAAGCCGGCCCAATCACTAACTGGACTATCTGGACCCTCCACTCACTGGGCCCCAGGTTCTGGTCACGGATGCCGTGTCCTGAGCCTGACTTGTTCAGCATCTGCCCATCCATGTCCCCAGCCACAGGGTGCGCTTGGCCCTGGGGTCCAGCCATCACCCACGCTCCTGGTGGGGGTGGAAGGGGAAGAGGGTCCCGAGCACCCCCTTTGAGGACAGTTCTTTTGCTTGTCAGGCCCACGCTTCCTTGTTTGCCACAGTGGCTCCCCAGTCTAGCTAATTGAATGGCTTATTATTTCGGTTTGCTTCCCCCACCCCATTTTTTTTGTTTTTGTAATTATAAAAGTAATATATATGTTCACTGTAAAATGCAAAAACTGTACCAGTATATATTACATATACACATCTGGACGTATATGTGTTTTTACCCTTTATATCATATACAGAGGAACAAGCAAAAGTCCCTTTTACCCAACCTGACTCTTACCCCACTTGTCTCTCCAAAAGTAGCTACTGTGACTATCGATTTCTGGTCTGTCATTTCAGGCCTTTTAACTCCTTTTCATATATGCAGTTCATGTAGAGAGAAGCACACACACCATAACTTTGTGTTTTTACATAAATGGGGTCACGCTGTGTATTCTGCCTGCAGCTTGCTTTTCTGCCCCTCTACCCTAAGTGGTAGACTTCCTTCTGTGCCAGTGCGAACCACGGCCTGTACTCCATCATATAAGGGTAGGGGCCATTATTCTCCTATTGATGGGCATTCAGGTCTTCACCCTTGTTTTAGTAAACAAATATTTGGTCCATGTCCCTTTTGCCCACATGCAAGCATTTTGGCAGAATAGAGTCCTCCAGTGCAGTGTAAAGCTCATGTAAAGACAATGAGCTGATGGATGTTAATGGATCGTACTCATTTATACCACCCCAAATCATATTACTTTGCATACATTCCCAAGATTCTCATCACCCTGTACTGCACAGAGCTGATCTTGATCCTAACTCTATCACCTCCCTGGTGACTTTATTTTATTCCTTCTTCCCCTTTTAGGAACACCAAGCGCACTGCAGAGGTGTGGATGGACGAATACAAGCAGTATTACTACGAGGCCCGGCCCTCGGCCATCGGGAAGGCCTTTGGCAGGTGGGCACACACCCCCCCCCCCCCCCCCCGCCGCCAGCCCTGTTTGCCTCCCTCCACCCGCGTTAGCACAACCAGAACAAAACACAAAATGGTGTGGACGCCAGAAAAGCACGCACAGTCTCCTTGGTAACTGAGCCCCTCCCCGCTGGACTCTTGGGCGTGGGGGGTTCTGGTAGGATACGCAATGTGAGACAGGACTGGGTCCTTGAGGAGCACACAGCCTTGAGGTTGTTTCTGGGAGAAACAACCAGAGAAGGCTTGCTGCTGAAGATGAGCTGCCCGTTCACCAGCTGCCTGCAGGGAGAAGGACAGCTGTGGGAGTAGTCAGGGCCAGGCTGTCTGCAGAAAACCCTTGGGGTTTGGCCGCCACCCCCTGCTGTTCAAAATACGCCTGGGACCTGTTAGCCTGTTTTCCTGTCCTGGGCTGGTATGACGACAGTCTAGTTAAGCATTTTCAAAATGTAGATTGGTTATGAAATCAATTTCATGGGTCGTGACCGGCATTTAAAAAAAAATGATAGAGAACGCGATAGATTGGAACAGAGCGAATAGAAAAGAACAGTTGATTGCAGTTAAAGCTAAGTATTGTTTGGTGAAATTTCTTTCAGTCATATGTGTATGTGTGTAGCTATATATGCACATGGGAATACTCGACCACAATGTAAGATACATTTATTTCTTAAGATTATGGTCAGAAGGGCGCCTGGGTGGCTCAGTTGGTTAAGCAACTGCCTTGAGCTCAGGTCATGATCCTGGAGTCCCAGGATCGAGTCCCGCGTCGGGCTCCCTGCTCAGCAGGGAGTCTGCTTCTCCCTCTGACCCTCCCCCCTCTCATGTGCTCTCTCTCTCATTCTCTCTGTCTCAAATAAATAAATAAAATCTTTAAAAAAAAAGATTGTGGTCAGAAGACTAAAAACATTAGTGATCATCTCTGAATATTCTTCCCTCTGTTTATTCATATCTATATCCCTTTAAAAAAAAAAAAAGCTACATCTCTGACTATTTCTTTTCATGGTGAACTGACCTTTACTGAAGACCTACCCTGTGCTAGGCTCTTATGTTCTCTTAATTCATTTGATTCTCTGAAAACCGTCTGGGATAGGTGGTCATGTTTACTGGTGGAGAAACTGAGGCTCAGAGAGACGGTGGGGGGTCATCTGTCAGTGGCCATTCCCGTCAGGGTAGCTGAGGACACTGGGGAGGTCAAACTGGCGTCCACAGGCACATCAGAGGGTTCTCATTTGCCAAAATTCCTGAAAGACCTTTAAAGTGTGCTTTTCTTGTTAGATTCTTTCTGCTAAAATTGGAATGCAAGAAAGGAAAACTTAAAGCTCTGCTTAAGGACCAGCTAGGGGTGTGCTGAGGTCTCAAGGTGTGAGAAGCCAGAGTCAAGCAGGGCCCCGGTGGGCTGCACTGATCCTGGAAGGTGAGCAGGAATTTGAGGAAAGAAATGAGGAATGGCCAGGAGACCTGGGGTGATCTTGCAGGTCAGAGAAGGATTTGTGGCAGGTGGCCACGGCTGGAGGGCAGGCTGGGACAGCTCCTGGCGGAAAGAGGGGACCAGTCTCCTGGGGCTTCTTCCTTGTGCCCACTTGCCAAAGCCTGAGCCTTCCCTTCTCTTCCAGTGTAGCCACGCGGATCGAGCAGAGGAAGAAGATGAACTGCAAGTCCTTCCGCTGGTACCTGGATAACGTCTACCCAGAGCTCACGTGAGTGCAGCCCTCAGCTTGTGCATCTGGCCTGGGTGGGGGGCCACCCTGAGATCTCCCCATCTTGGGCAGTCTGGTTCTTTCTAGCTGTCGGCGTTGAATCTTCAGGTGAAGGCTCTGGGGGGAATGGGAAGGAGTTAAAAGTGAGATGTGGCAGGAACCAAACTTTTAACAGACTGGGTCATAGAGCCAGGAATGGGCATTGTCCCCATAGGGAGACAACGCTGCATTATGTAGCAAAAGCCGCAGAAATAAAGACTCATCCCTTTTGACTCTGTTCTCTCCCTTCTGGGAGTTTATCCTCAGGAAATAAAGCAACCAAAGCAAAAAACTATTGACAAGAGATGTTCATTCAGTGTAGACTTCTCTGCTGCTGTGAAAAATCTAGAGATAACTAGTAGTAAGGGGTGGGTTTAGTGAATCTCAACACGTGGATCCAAACAAATACTACGCGTCCATTACGATTGCAATCATAAAGCCATGCAAAGCCATGGGGAAACGTTTGCTCTGACAAACTGGAAGCGGGATGAAGAAGGGGTGTGAGCTGGGGGTGAGGGTGCATCCGCGTGTGCGCGCGTGAGCTCCGGGGCGGGGGGTGAGGCTGCATCTGCGTGTGCGCACGTGAGCTCCCGGCCTGGGCGTGAGGCTGCATCTGCGTGTGCGCGCGAGCTCCCGGCCTGGGCGTGAGGCTGCATCTGCGTGTGCGCGCGTGAGCTCCCGGCCTAAGGCTGGCGCAGGGCAGTGAGGCTTCATTTTTTCTCATTTCAAAATCCTTTTTATCCACATGGCTCCTGGCCTCCCCTCCTCAGGTCTTGACTCAAATGTCCCCTTTTGGGGGTGGGGGGAGGGCGCCTCCCCAGTCTCTGTTTGCAGAGCACCCCCTACCCCAGCATCCCCAGTTCCACGCTCGCCATCCAGCGCCTATGTGGCCAGTTCATTTCGTTATTGCCCCTCCCCGCCCCACGTGACAGTAAGCTCCATGAGGGTAGAGGTGCGGATCTGCTTTGTTCGCTGTTTGATCTCCGGCCCCTAGAACAGGGCCTGTCCCAAAACGGGCACTCGATAAATATCTTTAACTGAATAAATTGCATAGTCAATAAGCCTCAATAGTAATAACTTGGAAATTAGCATTCTTCTTTCAATAGCTGTCACCTTAGGGAACGGGTTATTCCATCACTGGCAGCTCTCTCCCAAGGATGGTGCTGAGGCTTTCCAGAACACTCCACCCCTCAGAGCCTGCATGTCCTCGAAAAAGGCAAATCTCTGTTCTTTGAGGGCGGCTTTGGTTTTTGGAAAACAGCCATAGTTAGGTTGTCACCAAGTCCAGTGAAGAAGGCGATCCCTCCCAGATAAGGTGATCCTGGGTCCCTGAGAGAGCGTGACCAGGACTGAAACAAGTATCAAGAGTAAACTGATTCTGGGAGCGAGTTTCAAGGAATTTCGAAACAATTTAAGCAACATCAGCATCCTCGAAAAGAGTTAGCGGCCTGGATGAACCAGCTCCCCAGATGATGGCTGTGGAGGGAAAGAACATTAACTTATAAAAGTATAATAAATGGACCACTTTCTCCAGTGGCCACTTTTAAGGGGATAGTTGCATTCAGACGTGTCATTTCTGAGGGAAAAAGCAGCCGTTTCTTTTCATCCTGTCGGAGTTCAGGCAACATGGGGACGGAGACCCAGGTTCTAGGCCTCAGGCAGAAGCTGGGCTGCCTGTGGGAGGCACCAGGGAGGACCAGGAATAGGTCTCTCCTCTCCACACCCAATCTGCATGCACAGTGTCCCATGTCATCCCCTGAGGACCGAAAGGAAAGAGTATTTTATACCTATCAGAAACCTGGATCCATCACAAGACAGGAGAGTGGATGTAACCAGCTATGTGAAAGGAGGAGCATGAATCGTCTTCCGTTTGTTCTGGCACTGTCCAGAGGTTTTAAAAAACTATCTTTTGTCCGTAAGATAGAAACTGTGCACCTCATTCCTGCCCAGGTTGCTCATCCCCAGTCTGCTCTTCCAGTTCTGCCTCAGTCCTCGGGGTGAGGGGCCAGCAGTGACTCCGGTCGTTGGTTAGGAAGGACATCTGTATGCCAAGCTTTCCTCCAAACAGGGGTTCCTAATGGTTGGCCCCCACTTGCAGACGGTCGGTGGGGAGACTGAGGAGGCCGAGGGAGAGGTCCCTGCTTTCCTAGGCCTGCCTGTAGTCCCAGGACCGCTCCGTCCGCCACAGATCAGAGGTCTGCAGCTGGCCTCAACAACCACTGATCTAGTACTTTTAGTAGGACGGTCAGGAACGGGGCAAGCTGCGCACACCACATTTGCCAGGGTGCTAATCACACAGTGGGTATTGTCCATTTATTATAACACTTCCTGGCAGATGGCAGTAAAAGTCTCCTAACAAAACCAGTATATCATGACAGTTTTCTAACAGATGGAAGTAAAATGTCTTGAGGAAGGGATGCTTTTGCTGTTTCTACAGAGGCATCGGTAAGGGCTAATGGCAGCCCCGCTGGGAGGAGGCCCACGGAGAGGGAAGCAGATGCAGATGTAGCGGAGCCGGCTCAGCCAGGAAGCCGGGGAGGGTGGTGGAGACGACCATCCCAGTGGCCCCCGGGTCTGGGGCCACACAGACACCTCACGAGCCACATCCAGTTTGGAGATTGTTGCCGAAGCCCCGCATCTCCCCCATAAGCATCAATGGGCAGGCCTTTGTGCCAATGGCTGTGGCCGCACATGGACAGTGCCCACCTCCGTGCTGAAAGCTGACCACCCTGAACATCTCCCTCAGGACAGGGGGCAGGGAGAGAAAACATACGGAAGGATCTGGAACAGCCTGGGCTGCATTCCTGAGCCGGCTAAGGGGCCTCAGCAGGTGTCTCATCCCCATAGAGAGGGACAATAGAACAGGCTGCCTCTGGATGAAGCAGAGGGGGTGGACTCTGCATCCCAACACCCTCGCCTCTGGGTAGCGGTTACAAATTCAAATCCTACAGTGATCAGACGGGTGAGGCAAACCAATCTCGTGGGCAACAATGAGGCACAAGGGAGTTGTGGGGACCATGGCCAACTGGGATGCAAAAGCCCTTCCCCCCCGACCACGTGTTAGTGCCTTGAGTGCCTCGCTGGAAGGCGAGCTCAGTGGGGCCTGATCTTCCCATTTTCTCAAAAGAAGCTGGATCCAGATTTCTTTGTGTAACCTTCAGATTTTTAATATTGCCAATTAGCTAAAAACAACGACGACCACACCATGCAGGTCAGACAAAATGTGTTTGAGGCTGGAGCCTCCCCCGGCCCCTGAATCAGAGGGCTCCCATTGACACCCTCTGGCAGGGCCCACCCCGATCCCAGGACAGAGAGACAGGAACGAGCAAAGAGCTTGAGGAATGCCATGCTCCCGCTGGCTCAGGGTTGTGTGGAAACTCGGACTCATGGAGGGCCTGGGTGGGAGAGTGACTCAGAGGCTGCTCTGGGTACCCAGGACCTGGGGGCCCTGACTCCCAGCCCTTATTCTGCCTCTCTTCTGCTCCCAGCCCATATCTGTGCTAGCTACTGGGAATAGAATGGCCCCCTTTCTGCCCTGGGGCCCATCTGCCCTGGAGTCCGGGGGGATTATGCCAAAGCTCTCCTTTCCAGTGCCAAGCCTCAGAAAACCTGGAAGCAAGAGTCAGGATGAGGGGTGGAGAAGGGCTGGGCCTCAGGGAGCAATCCGGGGTCTTGGCTATGGACTGTCCAGCCTCTAGGCGAGGCCTAGTTGGGGCATATCATGGTCTCTGCTCAGGGTCAAGATAGGAAAGACGACATCTGATCCAAAGGAAAGGAGGATGGGGCGCCTGGCTGGCGTAGTCAATAGAGCATGTGACTCTTCATCTCGGGGTTATGAGTTCAAGCCCATGTTGGGTGTAGAGATTACTTAAAAAATAAAAACATATATATTTTTTTCAAAGGAAAGGAGGATAGACAGGAGGAGGGAGGAAGCAGGTGAAGGAAGTGGGAGAGAGAAGGGGAAGGAAAGGAAGTAGAAGAAGCAGTGTTAGTGATTGGCAGGAGGGGAGAGGCATCCAGAGGAGAAGGAGAGGGATAAAGGAGGAGTAAGGAGGAGCAGAGAGCCTACGGGGCCGGGAGGGGAGCACCGCTTACAGGGGCCTTTCTCTCTGGGGAGGGGCTTGGCGTGGTTGGCCCTTCCCACAAAGGGGAGGTGGTCCTTTTGTTCATAGCTTCAACCACCTGTGTGTTAGGGGATCATAGGGGGCATTTTATTATTGATCATAGTCATTATTGTTATTATATTACTATTTTTATTAAACTTCCCTCTACTGACAAGTTGGGGGCAAAATAAGTATTTATCTCTTCAAATGCCATATTCCCAGGAGGGATTGATCCTGATGCTCTGTGAGGCAATAAGAAACCAATAAAGATGACCTTTTAAGCTAAAAAAAATGCGTTTGGGGCCATATTCAGCTTGGGGGCCAGCAGTTTTCAACCTGTGGTCTAGAATTATGCAAACTCTCAAGAGGGGCCTGGAGGGGTACACACTCCTTCCAGGAGTGTGCAAGAGAAAGTGAAGATGTCTTCCCAAGGCTCTGTGAGAGTGGGTCATGGTTGGGGGTTCTGGGGGCTTCCAATCAGCCTCGAGGAAGACCTGGTTTGGTTGAGATCAAAGAATGCCAGAAGTGTTATGATGCCCCCGCTCCCCAGCCCACCTAGGTTCTCTTTGGACAGAGGTAACAAGAGGTGGTTAAGATTAGGCACATGGGGGCGCCTGGGTGGCTCAGTCGTTAAGCGCCTGCCTTCGGCTCAGGTCATGATCCCAGGGTCCTGGGATGGAGCCCCACATTGGGCTGCCTGCTTGGAGGAGAGCCTGCTTTTCCCTCTCCCACTCCCCCTGCTTGTGTTCCCTCTCTCGCTGTGTCTCTCTCTGTCAAATAAATAAATATTTAGGCACAATAAATATAAGATTAGGCACATGACCAGACTCTGAGCCCCATCATGCCGTGGGGACATAACCCAAGAGGGTGTATGACCTTCTAAACCCAAGAATACAAGCCTGCATCAGCTGGGGCCAGCAGCCTCCTTGGGTTTATTACCCACAAAATAAGACAATGTGTCGTGTGTGTGTGTGTGTGTGTGTGTGTGTGTGAGAGAGAGAGAGAGAGAGAGAGATGTGTGTTTAAGCATATTTTAAATAATAATAAGCATTATTATTTAAAAAATATAAATTTTTAAATAATATTTTGAAACACCTGTTTTATTTAACAGTATGTTATAAACATTTTTCCATGCTATCAGTTACTCGTTTGGAGTCATTTTTAATGGCTATGGGGCTTTCCATCCTACAGATGAATCAGTATTTATTTAGCCCATCCCCTGTTGTTGGATATCTATTTTTTCAGTATAACCAATCACTCTGCAAACATCCAAAATTATTGCCGCAAGATAACAAATTCCCAGAAGTAGGATTGAGATTGTTAGGTCAAATGTATGCACATTATTTTTTGTGTGCTTTTTATTATTGAAATACAACTGACGTACAATGTTGTATTCATTTCAGGTGTACAACATAGTGATTCAACAATCCTCTACATTATGCAGTGCTCCCCATGATAAGTGTAGTCACCACCTGTCACCGTACGACGTTATTACAGTATTATTGACTATGTTCCCTATGCTGGACTTTTCATCTCTGTGACTTATTTTATAACTGGAAGTTTGTACCTCTTAACCCCTTTTATCTATGTGTGCACATTTTTAAAGCTTTGGGTACATAAAGCCACATTGCCCTCCAGAACTGTTGGGCCAATTTATGCTCCCACCCATAGAGTATGAGAAGATCTGCTCCCATAGCTATTGCCAACACTGGGGATTGATATTGATTGGTGTTGATATAATATGATATATATGATATATTTTATATAAGTAAATATATAGAAATAATACATATTTATTACATATTATATGTTATGCACATATGTATTGTAAACAGTGGTAACTCTCTAATATGTATTTCTTTAATCATTAGTGAGATTGAACACATTTTCCTATTTGTGGGTTTGAAATTTATCTCTCCAAAGTGACCTTTTCCCTGTCATTTTGAGATGTCCTATCGAGTCCATACTTAGACCCCAGTCTCTCCCCAGGTTTTCTTCTCTCTAGACTGGGGAGCCTTGGCTTTCTGGTCTGAGCTCTTTTCCCAGGGTCCCCCCAGGCTTGGCCTCCAGGGCTGCCCCTAGGGCTCAGACCCGGTGGGGTGAGGCTCAGTCTTCCCAGAGGCATCCTGCTCTTTCCCCCGTCCCTGCCCCTGCTGGCTAGGGCTGCTCCCCAGGGCCCCTTCCCGTGAGACCGAGACCACGCACGAGCATGGTGCCCGGGGAGCTGACCGAGCACTGCCTCTGGCTGAGGGGTGAGTAAGCCTAGAGAGGGCAGAGGACAAGCCTGAACCACTCCATTTTCTCTCAGAGTCCCCGTGAAGGAAGTGCTCCCCGGCATCATTAAGCAAGGGGTTAATTGCCTAGAATCCCAGGGCCAGGACTCAGCTGGGAACTTCCTGCTTGGAATGGGCATCTGCAGAGGGTCTGCCAAGAACCCCCCAGCACCCCAGGTAAGCTGCTTAGGGCCTCGAGGTCAGAATCAGGAGGGGGAAAGGAGCCTGGGTCATTGTCCAGGAGTGGGGGAGGGGGAAAGGAGCCTGGGTCATTGTCCTGGAGTGGGGGAGGGGGCTTCCCTTGGCTCATTCTCATTTTCTCTCTGCTTGCACCCTCCACAAACCCGCTCTCCCAGGAACGTGTACGTGTACACTGTCCCCTCACGCTGCTCCTTGGGTCTGCTTCTGCCACATTCTCGTCCCTTTTCCCACCTGTCCCACAGTTGCCCTCGGGGCACCACCCACTTTCTCCTTGCTGAGGGAGAAATGTTACCCAGACGGCACCCGGTTCTCTCCTGGGATGCAGCTGTGGTCAGCGTGTATCACGGACAGCAGGGCATCCAAGACTCCTGTGTGTATGTGCGTGTGCCACATATGAGGGTCACTGCACTCATGCCACAACAAGAGTAGGTCGTAGAGATCCCCTAGCTGCCCTGGTCCTGCACCCTGTCTCTCCCTGTCCCCCCACCTTGGCATCCCTTGGTACATCCTTGGTTGCCCTCCAGCCAGCTCCAGCTATGCTGCCCCCCATCCTTTTATTACGAAAACTTTCAAACATACAGAAAAGTTGAAAGAACAATACAGTGAATACCCATATACTCACTCTTGTTATTTGTAGAAAATTCTGCCAACATACACGGTATTTGTTTTATAACCTGCCTACCCTCCTCCCCATCCCTCACCGCACACTTGGACTCGGCCCTTCACGTCCCTGTCTTCTAGGCGTGGCTGTTCAGCGACCATCTCATCCAGCAGCAGGGGAAGTGCCTGACTGCAGCCTCCACGTCCATCACCCCAGGCTCCCTGGTCCTACTGCAGGGGTGCAACCTGAGAGAAGGCAGGCAGGTGAGTCTCCTCACCCCCCGGGGATGTGCAGGCTGAGTGGCAGCTCCTGGCACGGGAGCCCTGGGTTGAAACAGATGGACTCAAATAAGCCCTCCAGAGTGAGGATCCCTCCAAGTCAGCGGCAAGGTCAAGTCTGTTGTGCTCATGAGGAAGCACTTCTTCAAGTAAATATGGTTACATGTCCGTCCTGCCAGCCTGTGGGTGACACGAGGACAGGGGCTGTCTTGTGTCCCTAGCCCCCGACAACCACCGCAGCCAAACTTGAGCTGCCTTTTACCAAGAGCCAGTGATAGGAGTTTTACATAGACCATCTCATCTTATCCTCGTGCAACCCAGGGATTTGGGCCCTCGTCCCCTCCCCATTTTACAGGTGAGTCAACCGAGGCTTGCTGAATTTAAGAAACAGGGGTCAGATAAAACACAGCTGGGAAGGGGTAGAGCCGAGATTCAAACCCAGGTCAGTGTGACCCCTAAGCCCACGGTCTTAACCCAGAACATAGTAGGTGCTCGGTAAGTATTTCTTGTCTGTGGCTGCCGGGAAAGTGAGACCCAGACACACCGATTTCCAAGCTGGCACGACAGCCTCCCATGAGCACTACCTTTTCCATTTGTCAAACACTCAGCCGCCCTGTCTCCATGAATCCTGGGAGACAGGCCAGGCCCTCTGGCCGAGGAAGAAACCGATGTTCCGAGAGAGGACATCACTTGCCCAGGGTCAGCATCAGCCAGTGGCAGAGTCAGCTCAGCTCCCTTCCGGGGGGGGGGGGGGGGGGAGGAGCCGCTCTGCCCGAGGGATGGAACACAAAGTCCAGAGGTCTCCTCCAGCCCTTCCCCTGCCCACACACCCCGGTAGCCGTCCCCGTGCCTGACCCTGGCCGGCCGGCTGGACAGTGCAGGGCCGAGGAGAGCGCCTGGCCTTTCCTCCCACCCTTTTCCTGTTTGCCTGGGTCAGCTCTTTCTTTAGGGATGACTGGCAATTGGCTACACCATTCTGGAAAAGCAGCCAGATCCCCTCCCTCCAGCCTCTGAGTGCGTGCATGCGTGTGTGTGTGTGTGTGTGTGTGTGTGTGTGTGTGTGTGTGTGTGTGAATTGTGTGCCAGGATCTGCTTGCTGGCCCTGCTGGACACTTCTGAGGTGTTTCTGATTGGCAGAGGAAGTTTGTCCTGCTACCTCCGCCCCTGCCCTGCAATGAGGGATGTCCTCAGGCTCTTCTTCACTGGGGGCAGCAGACCTCTCCAAGGGTCAGGCTTTGAGCCCCCAGGAAGTAGCTCCTGGGGGAGCCACCACTCACTTAATTCTCTCGAGCTCTGTCTAATCTGCTCCTGCAAGTCCTGCCAGGTCCCCAGCGGCACCCTGGCCCCCGGGCCCTCTCCTCCCGGAGAATAGGATGAGTGGGTCTCCCACTGCTGGTGCCTTCTCAAAGCTAAGCCTTGCTTCTTGGTCTCCCTTTGGCTCCCACGGCCACTGGGCGTCATGGATCCGAGAGGCTCTGTGTCCTGGAGCCAGTGGGCTGTAGTCAGCAGACCCCAGCCCCGCCACCCCTCACCCCTCTGAGCCTCAGTCTCCTTCCTGCCGGCCTTGCAAGGTGCCTGCAGGAACGGAGGCTGAGGAGATAGGAGGGTGCCGTGAGGGGTGCTGTTTCTCTGTCCAGGCCCAGGCCTGAGTGGCCGGGAGAGTGCTCGATGGCATGGGTGAGAAGTGAGAATCCCGTGGTTTAGGGAGCACCTTCAGCGATCGGGTGATCTCTTCACTCATCCGCGCACTCACCCTTCATAAATACCACTGCGTTGGGCCCCTGCCTGTTCTCAGGAAGGTACGGCTCCTGTTGGCCACAGGCAGAAAGGAGGACGGGGTCCAGCGATGCCCAGGGCGGGGGAGCATGGCCAGCCTCTCAGCCCTTCTCCTGAGTGTTCCAAAGGACACCACCTTCCTCCACCCAGGCATCTCCAAATGTTCCACGGGAACACCTCTTTTCCCCTTCCTCAAGCCCGGCGAAGAGGAGGCTCAGGAGGAGATTGTGATGGGGACCCCAGGCCTCCCACCATCCTGCTGGTCTTATTCCTCATCGCTGCAGACATAGTGGCTGGATCCCCCTTACAGCCCTTGGTCACCTGCTGCCTGGTTAGAGGCCAGGCCGGAAGCTCAGAGCTGTGGGGAGAGAAAATCTTGTTTGAAGAAGCAAAAGACGCACTAAGCCAGGACCCGCAGACTCAATGTGCCAGCAGGGAGGGATGGGGTGTGCTGCAGGGGTGGGGTGTGCTGTCCTGGGCAGGATCTTGGTAAATGGAGAGCAAGAGCCCCACTTCTCAGCCCCAACTGCTCCGGGCCGTATAAGAAACTGGCCCATGTCTAAAGGGAAGCTAGAAACCCAGATTTTCATGTGACAAGGAAGCCAAATTTTATTTTATTTTCTTTTAAGATTTTTTTTTTTTTTTTAATTTGACAGAGAGAGACACAGTGAGAGCGGGAACACCAGCAGGGGGAGTGGGAGAGGGAGAAGCAGGCTTCCCGCGGAGCAGGGAGCCCAATGTGGGGCTCGATCCCAGGACCCCGGGACCATGACCCGAGCCAAAGGCAGGCGCTTAACGACTGAGCCACGCAGGCGCCCCACGAAGCCACATTTTAAACAGACACTGTGCAGGCCAAACAAAATACAGCCCCGGGTCAGATTCATTCAGCCGATGGGCCTCTGATCTTCCTTCTGCTGGACTGTGGAAGCAGGAGTGCCTCAGAAGGGAAGGGGTTTAAGACTGCGTGTGGGGTTGGGGAGCTCTTATGTAGGGGACATAGTCTGCCTTAAGTGAGGGGGGGTATCCGAGGGGTATTCAGGCCACTTACATTGATGTGAATTATTATGATTGTTAATTATTGTTTTCTCCCCCGTCCTCCCTGCCAGAGATGGAGGAGAAAAGCCTCTTTCATCCAGCACTCGGTCAGCGGCCTCTGCCTGGAGGCCAAGCCCGCCCAGCTGGTGACCAGCAAGTGCCAGGCCGACGCCCCCGCCCAGCAGTGGCAGCTATCGCCGCACACATGACGGTAGCCTGGGGCCTCCCGTACCTTTTGCATGAGACTTTGGGACTGGAAGCGGGTTAGGGTGGGGGAGTGTAAAGCAGGCCGTCCCCATCTCCTCACATTTCCGCCGGAATCATCAGCAAACACCCCTGCCACGACACACAGCTCCCCAAAGCTTGTTCGGGGCGGGCACAGGGGGGCAGGCCCTGATGCTCCGGCTGCCAGCCCGGCCCTGCCCCAGAAGAGGAGACGGGCAGGATGCTGGACTGCTGCTGGGTGGAGACTGGGCAGCCCCCCCCCCCCGGCCCTTTGTCCCCTTCCCTTCACCCTCCCAGGGCCCCTGCTGGGTCACAGGGCCTAGCTGTGGGGCCGGCACGAAGGGACAATGTGGGCAGCATGGATGGGGAGGCTGAGGGCCCGCCGAGGGGGTGCAGCATGAAGGCAGATGGAGAACAAGAAGGAGGTGAGAAGCTCCGTGGCCTGTCCCAGGCGGGTGCTGGGTTGAGCGTGGGAGGGATAGGATCTGGAGCAAGGGATGGGTAATTTGCAGAAGGACATGGATGGAAAAGCAGCAGAGCCCCAAAAGAATTAGTCTCTTCCGGACAACCCATAGTTCTTCCCAAGCTGTGTCAGTCCCCGCGCATCGCGCCCAGCGCTCTGGCCTCCACGTTCCTAGCAAGAGGCTGCAACGGGGTCTTCAGGGGCAGCCTTGGGACCCAGTTTATTAAACAGATCCCGCTTCCGTTTGGCCATGTGTCAGGCCAAGACCCCTTTCCTTGGGCCTAAAGACCAGCTGGTGCCCTGTCTGCTCTTCCCGGGCCCATGGTGATGACCCCGTGTGGGCGGGCAACCACCATGCACCCTGGAGCAACCCCATCCTCGTTCAGACTTTGGCTCCTGCCTTCTCAAAAGCCTTTGTCTCCGTAAATACAGCATTATGGTGGTGAAGTAGCTGGTAAGAACAGGACCTCCCTTCTGGAGCTAAACATTCCCTAAGACATTAGGGAGTAAGTCCGGGAGGCTAAGCCTCATCCTCACCCCTCCCTGCTGCAGGAGGGAGGCCTGAGAGGGTCAGTTCCCACAGTGAGCGGGGAGGCTGGCTGGCGGCTCCTGTTTGTGTGGAGAAACCCAGTTCCTTCTCACGGCCACTGGGCCCATGGCCTGGTCTTGGAAACGCTTCTGCTATTCCCCATTTCCTCTTCCCCAGCCCTAGTGGCTCAGGCAGGGTGATCTTTGGCAAAAGACCAGGGGTATAAGGACCCCTGGGCATCTCCCTCCCAAAGCAAATCCGCCTGGGACCTCTAGGGAGTTCGTGGATTCCAGAGGGCCCGGGACTCTCCTGAAATTGTCCCCCCAAATCGTGCATGTGTGTGCAGATGTGCATTTTCCTGGGGAGAGGGTCCATGGATCACCCCAGCTTCTTGCAGAGGTCCCTGATCCCCAAAGGGTCTGCACCTCTGCTCTGGCCTGGAGCAACCACCGGGCTGAGCTGCCATGTACCTTCTCCCTTCCTGGTGAGCCTAGATTGCTGGTTCCTGCTCCTCCATGGGCCCTCAGGCCAGCAGCCCTGCCATGGGGGGCCTCAGTAGCTTCCTCACCCCCTGGCTCTCACCAGGCGCTCAAGCAGTGCTCCTGGGCCCCAGCACAGGGCCCTTGGCCCCCCGGGGGCCCCATCTCCCGTCCTCTGTCACCGTGTTTCCTCCACCCCCTTCTCTGTTGTGCCTGTCCCCCCCAACCCCCCTGCAGCGTGGCCCCTTGGGGATGGGGGGGCACAGCTTCCCTCACTGAGTGTAAGGGGGCTGCTGCTCAGAGAAGCCTGAGAGCCCCTCCCTTCCCTGTGGGCCGACTGCAGCTGTCAGACGTCCCTGCCTTCCCTGTGGGCCCACTGCACCTGTCCGCCGCCCCTCCCTTCCCCGTGGCCCCACTGCACCTGTCAGACACCCCTCCCTTCCCCGTGGGCCCACTGCAGCTGTCCACCGCCCCTCCCTTCCCTGTGGGCCAGCTGCACCTGTCAGACACCCCTCCCTTCCCCGTGGGCCCACTGCACCTGTCAGACGCCCCTCCCTTCCCCGTGGGCCCACTGCACCTGTCCACCGCCCCTCCCTTCCCTGTGGGCCAGCTGCACCTGTCAGACACCCCTCCCTTACCCGTGGGCCTACTACACCTGTCCGCCGTCCTTCGTGGTGGGACTCGGCCCTGCTCTGCTCTTGCTTTTCCTCTTCTTGACCAAAGCATGTGCCACTCGCTGCCGTCCCTGAGGGGCCTCGTCTTTATGAAACGTGCACCTGGAATAAAACCACTTCTCACCCATACACGTGCACCCGTGCCTTTCTCACCCCGAAGCCACCCTCCCCTGCCGTGTGGGCAAGCTGGGGCCTCGATGCTATAAAACAAACTGAAAGCGCTCGGGTCTCACCCCTCCTGTACCTGACAGCTTGCTCCTCGGCCTACATGCCCCACGGTACCCCAGGGTGTCCCGGATGACAGGCTGGCAGCTCTGGGGGACTAGCAGGTGTCCCTGCTGCTGGGGCGGGCTGGGACCAGAGCCCCACTCTGGCTCTGTGGCCTCATCGTGGGACCCTACTGCGGCTTTGAAGTGGAAACCACGGGGCTTTTCCAAATGCTTGCCTTTTGCCAACCCTCTCTCCTTCCCTGGGTGATAGCCCTGACCCCCCAGAACTGCCCTTCCCCGCCTCTACCACACAAAAAGGCAGTGGGAAAATGCAGGTGGGACATCTTCCTGGGTAGGAACAGCAAACTAACTCCAGAAAGAGTCCCATCAGCCTAGCCTTGTTGATTGGGTAGCAGATGCTGTGCCTAACGTTTCCATGGAAACCAGTGGAAAGCCCCCACCACTCCTATGATCAGAAGCTGAACCTACCCAGGTAAAAATAAACGCTGCTTCGGTGCACATATGAACAGTGGTGGGCAGGCCAGTGCGCACCTTTCCTGCACGCAGCCATTTCTGCCCCCACCCCCCACTTCCATCTCAGGGGTTCCCAGAACTTCTGGCCACCATGCCCCTAGCTGGTGACAGTTCCAAGCGCACAGTGTGGCTGCAGAGCCCAGCTTGGGCTAACTGGGCACAGGGAACAATTTACTGCAGAAGACTCCGGCTGTAGTCTCTGTCCGTCCTCTCAAGGAGCACACCCCACTGCCCACCTCCTTCTTAGGGCGCTGGCCACGCTGGGCCGGCTCTCCACATTCCCTCTGTTTTCCTTCCCAGCCTCCAAGGGCTCTGGTGCTGCTTCTCCTGAGTCATGCTCTTTTGCCCTCCTCCAAACCTACCTCTCGGAGGCCCATTTTTCTCTTCCACCCCCCCTTTCTTTTTTTCTGGAAAATAAGACTGTGAGCCTTTAGCCAGCTCCTGGAGGGGTTGGCAGAAACTCTCCGGCTGGCCCTTAGGGACTTACAGAACACAGCAGAAAAGTCTCGAAGAGTGCATGGGTGGGGAGGGCAGGAGGGACATGGGCATGAGGCCAGCCTCCCGTTTATCCAGCAGGGAGGAGTGCCTCCATCCCTGGGCCTCTGTGACTTGCCTTCAGTTTTCCCAGTGGCTCAGCCCCACACCCCTCAGGAGAGGGCTCTCCAACTGCAGTTGGGAGAAATAACATGGGCAACACCTGTCTTCCAAGGGGACCAGCACCCCCAGGCCTGCGGAGAATCTTCCATCACTGGGCGCGGTGTGATCCTCGCCCACCAAGAGAACAGAATAGGAAACCTGGAAAAGAAAAGCTACAGTTCGTGACCCACAGCTTCATTCCCGACAGTGTTCCCACCGTCCTTGGTGTGTCCCTGCCATGGTTGGGTCTGTTTCCTCCAGAGGGAGGGAGGGAGGGGTTCAGGCAGCTTCTCATCTTAAAAGGTCTTCACGGCTGGGCAAAGAGCTCAGGTGAGGCAGGTGGGGGCCGCCCTCTCCTGGGCCTGCAGCCAGGCTGTGTGGGTCAGCAGGAGGGTGGAGGTTCCAGAGCCATCTGAGGACAGCCCTCTGCCTTGGGACTCGACCCCATGAAGTGCGAGGAAGTGGGTAGACAGAGTGTGGATCCCAGGGCCCTCGTCAGCCAGGCTGTCCTCACTCTGTCACTTACTGGCCATGTGGTCTTGAGTCTCTTACATCATCTCTCAGCCTTGGGTTCCTCACCTGGAGGAAGGGGTCACTTCGAGCCCTGGAGGGATTTTGTGAGGAATGATTTATTTCTCGTGTGCAAAGCATCTCTCTAAAAGCCTAGTAAACATGCATTCGTGCCACTATTTTTTTTTTTTTAGATTTTTATTTATTCATGAGAGAGAGAGAGAGAGAGAGAGAGAGAGAGAGGCAGAGGGAGAAGCAGGCTCCCAAGGAGCAGGGAGCCCGATGCGGGACTCGATCTCAGGACCCTGGGATCATGACCTGAGCCGAAGGCAGTCGCCCAACCATCTGAGCCCCCCAGGCGCCCCCGTGCCACTATTAATAAACATTTTTGGAGTGCCTGCTACGTACTAGGCACTTTACCAGGGGTGGTGACACACATATAAAACAGAAATTGTCTCTGCCCTTAAGGACATTCTAGCAGGAGACATGGACAAAGAAAGAGGTCCCTGTGATACCACATGATAAAAGCCACAGGAAAGGCAGGAGATATGGCAGCAGCAAGGAGGGGCCTCTTGCTGTGGGTTGGGGGCCAGGAGTCCTGGTGCTTCCAGGACAGCTGCTCATGACCCTCTGGGCAACGCCTGCCTCGGCTGGGTGGAGGGTGGGCCGGATGAGGCCTGGTGGGAGCTAGAATGCTAGCCGGGCTGGTGGCTCAGCAGGTACCGTGGAATGGCCTGTCATTGTGCATACTGCACCAAGTACTACATGGCTTGTCACCTCAGTGCACACAGCACCGTGGGGATGTAGACCAGTCTGTAATCATAGAAGGATTCTGGAAGGAAGGTATGGCAGCCGTTTAAACCCAAACAGATAAACCCTGTCCTTCTTGAGCTAATGACCATTCCTCCAGGGCTCAGTCTTCTTTGGTGAGGGCAGAGGAAAGGATGGGGACCAGGAGAACTGGATGATTCTTATCTGGAGACAAGGAATACAAATGACCAGGTGGAGTTCCAGAAAGACTTGTTCTCTCCTTCCTCCTTGATTCAGGTTACCTCTGATCCATTCAACCATCTGAAAACAAAGCCTGTCTCTCAACAATTTGTCTTTCAAATAAGTGTCTCTCAAGCTTCAGCCCCCAGATAAGCTGGGGCAATCAGCTCAAGGTGCCCGTAGGCATGTTTGTCCCCAGGCTCTCCCCCAGACCTGCTGACTCCGAATTTCCATGTGTGTCCGTGGCCGAGGTGATCCAGATTCACCTGGAGTCTGCGACCCTCTGAAGCATGAGGCAGACCTGGGGCCCAGGGAGGGGGAGCCATGCAGGGGATACTAAGGATGAGCCCCAGCTCTGCACCAAGTACTACAGTACTTGACCTCACTGTGAGCGGGAGAAGCCAAGGGGAAAGAAGGCCACTCCCACGCTCCTTACCAGCAAAAGGATGTAGGAGCTGGATGTCTGAGCCAGAACTGGCTCCCGAGGGGAGCAGTGACAGACAGATGCCCCCAGCTAGGACACCCTCATTTGAACAAGAAACCAGGGCTGGCAGGAGAGTTTGGGGTTCTGGGTCCAGGATCAGGAGAGAAGTGTCTCCAGTCGTGGTTGCTTAGTCTCCCCTGGGGCCTCTCCCCACCACCTGAGTCAGAGGCAGCCCCCAGCTGAAGCCCCCAGCTGGGTTAGAGGCAGCTTGCTGAAGTGTGGGTGGCCCATAGGCCCCATAGCACTCTCAGACACAGCCACTGACATTGGCAAGGGCGTCCCTCACCCCCGGGATGACTGATCTCCAGAGCCTCCAGAGCCTTGTTCTCCGGCGGGGGTGTGTGTGTGTGTGTGTGTGTGTGTGTGTGTGTGTGTGTGTGTG